GAAAGTTGTGAAAATTTTTGGAATCTATGGGACAGGGAAGGAGGAAGGCAGTGGAAATGAGGAGAGGGACACGACACGCATCCACTGGATGGACGGGTGATGTTTCTGAGATGGGCATTGGAGAGAGAACATTTTGTGGTAGGCTTTGTTATCCCTGTTGGCATGCCTGAAATAGTCCAACCTGTCTTCTAAAGTCATTTTGAGGAGCAGGACTGGTGGCTTTCAAGACACAGCAGTGATTGCGTGGATACGATACGGGTAGAAGTGGGTGACCACAGGTGTGTATGGGACACAGGCTTCCTTGCTGGGCCATCTTCTCCAGCAGGGCAGGTTTCCCAGGTGCAGATCCAGAAACACTGGGCCTTTGTCTTCCCTGGGCCAAGTGGTGTGCTCGCATTCCAGGACTCTATTGGAGATCAGTCATTGTAGGATAGATGAGGGAGAGGCAAGGAAAGATAGGTGAGTATGAGTGGGAATCTGGGGCAGGCAGTTGTGAAACTAATTGAGGGCTGATCCAGTAGCAGTTGTATGGGAAGCGAGGGAAATTCTAGCACTCCAAACCCTTAGAGAAACAAAGGAAGGGTTTGCTCCCCAGACATAAGACTGCACAGTTTGGGGAAGCTGGGAACCCAGAGTCTCAAGGAACATAAGACTGAACATTGGCTCCTCACCACGACTGGTAGGGCATTCTTGTGTGTTCATTCTGGCCCCTTGGTGCATTCTTTACATACCACTATATGTGTTCTCAGGGGAATCCCAGGACTGTTTTGGGCTTTCAAATTTACAAATGTGTTTCCGAATCCGTGCTTGTTCTGCAACTTGGTATATGCAGTCATGAGACTGTCCTTGTAAAGTATTAACAGAGTTTCGTGTGTATCAGTACAATGCACAACAGCCAAATTATGGACAGCCTAGGTGCCATCTGGAGACAAATGTATAAAGAAAATGTGGTATATATACCCAAAGGAATTCTCCTCCGCCATACAGGGAATAAAATTGTGTCATTTGCTGGTAAATGGATGGAACTGGTAAGTGAAATACATTGGGCTCTGAAGATCAAGGGTTCAATGTTTTCTCTCATATGTGGGAACTAGTAAGAAATGCAGATGCACACGCACATCATGAGTCAGGGCTCTCCTAAAAAATAGGACCAATAGCATGTGTGTTTCTCTTTATTTATTTGTTTTATGGAATATGTTCATGCAACTATGGAAGTTGGAGAGCCCCAATATCTGTAGAGGGATGTGGCAAGCTGGAAACCTGAAGAGCTGATGGTTTAATGCCAATCCAAGGCAGAAGGCCTGAAGTCCAGGAGAGCCAATGGTCTATTCCTCATCCAAAGTTCAAAAGGCTCAAGACCCAATTAGAGCTGATATTTCATTTGAAGTCTGAAGGCAGAAAAAAACTCCCATATTCCAATTCAGAGGCAGTCCGACAAGAAGAATCTCTCCTACTCAGTGGAGGGTCAGGTTTGTTGTTCAATGCAGGCCTTCACTGATTGGATGAAGCCCACTCACCTTTTGGGAGAGCAATCTGCTTTACTCAGGCTACCAATTTAAATGGCAACCTCGTCCCCATATGCCCTCACAAAACCACCCATGATGATATTTGACTAAATATCTGGGCATGTCATGTCAAGGTGACACGAGAAATTAACAATCACAATATAGTTTCCGCTATTCATGTATTATATATTTTATAGACATATAAGCATTCATCACAAAACAAGGAAGTATACTCATGTTGATTATAATCCTCAATTCTATAACGGGTCATACAGGAACATTAACTGGTATTTTAAACTACTTTCGACCACCCCTTCCATGTTCCCTTTACCCTTGGCAAGCACTTCATCTGTGACAATGATCCCAGGTAGCCTTTTACTTGTGTGACCAAAGCTTTCATTACTCAGGAATGGTTCCATTGTGGTTTCTATCAGACTTAATACTGAGATGACCTAAGGGATCTCCCATATGCCAGAGGGATCCTTACTTATCTCCATTTCAGAGTAGCAGTCCAATTGTCCCCAGGGTTATCAGGACAATGCAGTAGTAACTCGCTTCTTCACCTTTGATTCACGGGCCTGAAGAGTCCAAAGTAGCTGGTGGCCATCTTACCTTACAATTCAATTGCTGAGTCTCCTGGAGGGTATATTGCCCCCTTTGGAACTAAGACCTCTGGAACAGCAGAGAGCTGTCCTGGGGACAAGAAGCAAACATTCTGCTGGTGGATGACTAAGGTTAATAGTGAGTGGTGCCACTCCCATTCCATCCCTTGATTTCAGGACTTGGGAATCCTGGCTATGGTAGAAACAGCAATACACATTAGACACTGGATCAGAGTAGACAGTATCCTAGAGGCTTTGTCCCAGCCCTTCAGGGTATTGCGATCCAGCTGGCAATGCTGGTTCATTTTCAAAAGGTGTTCTAACACCCTCTCAAGCCATCCGTGAAACTGGAGTTTTCAAATGAGACGAGATTCCTGCTTCAGCTGGCAGATGGGATTTGTGCAGGCTGTGGACCTCACCAATGGACTTCTGGGTTCTTGTCTCACAAATTCAAAGATTAAAATCCACAGGCAATAATGGAACAGAATTGATATAAATGAGAAGGGAGAGAACTCAGATGCAGGAGGGGACTTGACAGTTTTACAGTGTTGGGGCCTTCCAGGAAACTGAGGCAGCAAGAAGACACCCTCCCTCCAAACCCCGATTCTAGGTATCACTTCAGAATATTTTCAGATGTTTCACTCAGAGTAACAGGCATGAGTCTTTGGGGACAGGAAGAAGCAGAGGGGACACTCTCAAGGGAGAGAGTGAATCCTCTCAGAGAGGAGAAGGGACAAGTGCCTCTCCTGCTGTCCAGTTTTATTGGGGCTCCCAGAAAGTTTCCAGAGAGTCCTGCCCAGGTCCACCTCTTGGCTTTTGACTGACAGCAGGATGACATCGGACTTTCAAGTCCCCACTGCCATGACAACTCTAGGTCACTTTGGCCCATGCTGACCAGTTCTAATGGTATTCTTAACCAAACATTTTTACACATTTTATGGTTAGGAGGAATTAGTCTTATGTCCCTAAGTTCTGGGATCTTGTCTGTGGAAACAGTCACAAAGACCTTGCCCTTTAGGTGAGATCCTGTTAACATTCCTGTGGGTCTGCAGATAAGAAGTAGTTTGCTGTGGAACATGACATGTCTTGTCCACTTAAGCCAGGCAGGCCTGCAGGTTACTTGATTCTTGGAAAAGAAATCAAGTGGTAGTTGGCAAGAAGGCCCATTTTAAGGAATTATTCATTTAACATCATGTTCCTACCTCTGTTTGCCCCCTATCAGCTGCTTTAGGAATGTGGGGAGTTTGGAAAACCAGTGAGTGGGTCCCTCATGGCATTTCATTTGCTGTGAACTGTCTTCCCGGATCAGAAGCAACATCATGATGGTAGAATAGATATTCTATAATTCCATAGATGTAGTTTGTTTAGAAGTACCATGTGCAGAGAAGGCAGATCTGAACCCCCCCCGGAGTACATGTCTTTTCCAGTGTGAACCAAACACTGTCCCTTGCAAGATGGAAAAGGTTCAAGGTAATCAACATGCCACCAGGTGACTGCATGATTGCTCTGATAAATTATGGCAAAGTGATAAATCATGGCAAACTGAATTATAACTCCTTCCAGTGCAGACACAGTGTTGGTCTCTACTGTTGGAAAATGAGCACTCTGCATTGCTTATGGCCAGTCAGCCTTTGGGAGTGGAGTCCAAGGATCACCTCTATCCCCTCCAGCATGTCCACGTTTTTCATAAGCCCACTGTGCAATGAGAAGTGTGGCTGGAGAAAGAGAGCACCTGTAGGGGTCATCCTTTCCACTTGATTGTTAAAATCCTCCTCTGTTGGGGTATCCATTTGGTGGGTATTGACCTGAGACACACATATCTTTATGTTTTTTTTTTGTGTTTCAGGTTTTCGGTGCGTGGGACAGAAGGGCATGTGAAGGGCATATGCCTCTGAAGGGCATGCAAGACACATGCTTTACCTCAGGGACAAACTTCCACGTCCTCTTCATGTCTTTTGCTTATTTGGAGAGTTCCATCCACACATCTGTTCCCCAGATTTCCTTATCAACAATGTCCCAATCACATTCCTTCCATAATTCTGACCATCATGCCAAACCATTGGCCACAGCCTATGTTTGCCTATATGGTTTCCACGAATAGTGAACAATGAGGGGTTCTTCCCAGAGTTCTGCCCACCAGGAGGATTTCCCTTCACCACTGTCCTACAGGGATGTCCCACAAGGGGTCTGGTGCTGCAGCTGTCCAGTTTCAAGTGCTAATTGCATAATTCACAGTACCTTCTGCAAACCAGACCTGAGTCTCCCTTTGTCAAATTGATCATAAAAAGCTTCTCATGATCCCACATGTGCAGTCTGGGGGAGAGAGAGTTGTATAGCTGAAGTGGGGACCACGGACACTTGGGGCATTTCATGTAACATACTTGTGCTTTCTCGGCTTGCTTGAGCTCAGTCACATACATACCACTTCCATTGGATGGTGTGCTGTGGTGCATGACCAGTATTATGGCTTGACAGTTCAGACAATACCCAGCACTTCATGAGGCTCCATATGCAGAGTAACTGGCTGACCCATATTTAAATATCCAGTCCCTTGTAATGCCCAGTAGCAAGCCAAAAGCTGTCTATCAAAAGGAGATCAGTTATCCATGGGGGATTGAAGGGCTTTGCTCCCAAATCCTAAGGGCTTGTGCTCTAGCTCACCTGTACAATCTTGCTAAAGTATCCAAACAGATAATCTCTGTGACGCTGGTAATTCAAGTGCCATTGGATCTGCTGGATGATATGGCCCAAGAGGTAGAACAGGTAACTTGGCAGCCTGGACCTGTTACAGAGCCTCCTCTTAAAATTAGCAGAGTTGATTAAATTCAGTAGCTATAAAAAAGAAAGAAAGAAAGAAAGAAAGAAAGAACGAACGAAAGAAAGAAAGAAAGAAAAAAGAAAAAAAATTCAGTAGCTTTGAAAGATGCTCAATGAAGGGGACAGTGTAACTCCTTCCAATGCAGAAGATGTTGTTCCCCAAATCAAATGAGGCCCACTAGGAGTTGTGTTTCATTTTGGGTGGTATGAGGGGAAGATGCAGCAATTTATCCTTCACCTTAGCAGGGTTATCTTGACATGCCCCACACTCCAGGACCTCTAGAAATTTCACTGGAGTAGAAGCCACTGCATTTTCATCAGATTTATTTCTCAGGCTGTGTTAGTTGGATGTTCATCACAGTGACAAGACATTTAAAAAGAGGAAAGACTTACTTGGGTTCATAGCTTCAGAGGTCTTAATCCATGATCGGCTGACTCTGTTGCTCTGGGCCTGAGATGAGGCAGAAAACGATGACAAAAGCTTGTGGCAGAGGAATACTGTGCATCTGATGGTGACCAGGAAATAGAGGGAGAGAGGCAAAGAGGAAGAGGCCACAGACAAGACATGTCCTTTGAGTACATGCCCTCAGAGACCTTCCTCCTCCAACTTGGTCACACCTCCTACAGTTTATACCACCTCCAATAATGGCATGGGGCTCTGAAACCCTCAAGGCATTATTCTTTTTTTTTCTTTTGTGGTGCTTGGGATTAGTCTCAGGGCTTTGTGCATGTGATGCAAGCACTCTACCAGCTGAGCTATATCCCCAGCCCAAGGCATTCATCTTATGAGGAGTTTAGAGTCCTCGTGATCCAATAATTTCCTAAATACCCCACCTCTTTTTCCTCTGTGCTGAGGAAAAAGTCTTCAACACATGAGCCTTTGTGGGATGCTCCAGGTCCAAATCAAAACATAGTGTGTGACATGCAGATACCTTTCCAGTAAGTCGATAGCAGTTGCTGCTTCTGGTCCACATGTCCAATCTGAATAATGTCACTGATGGAAGCGACCCATGTAATGTCTTGTGGGAAGAAAGGTGACCAAGATCCCTTGGATTTAAATCAGGATACAGTGCTGGAGCACTGACAGACCAGCTTTGCCATCTGAAAACAAGCTGCTCCTGGTGGTCATTACCAATGGGTGGGGATAAAAGAGCATTTTCCTCATCAGTCACTACACACCAGTGGATGATAATCTGCCCAAGAAACGAAACCACTACCAACACACCATCTATAATTGGAGTCCTCACCTGGTTCACCTTGGGGCTAATCCACTGTCAGTCTCCAAGTTGTCTTTTCTGTACTGGACAGTTAGGCAAGTTAAATGGGGATGCGCTAGGTATCACTAACCCTGCATTCTTTTAGTTCTCGGTGGTGGCACTAATCTCTACAGTCTCTCTAGGAATGCAGTATTGCATTTGGTTGACTATTTTCCTAGGCAGAAGCAGTTCTAGAGCCTTCCAATTGACCTTTGCCACCATAATAACCCTCATTCTTCCCACAGGGAAGCAATGAGGGGATTCTACCAGGGGTCG